CCTCATTTTCTAAAGTTTAAACATAAATGTAAAACTTCAAGCAGTTATCTATTTATGTGGTCTCAGGTAATATATTGTCATGTTCCTAAAATTGTTTAACATTCTTAATCAATTTGAAATAATTTCTACTTAAACCTTCCAATATTTTTGTTTTTCTATTTTAAAATATACATTCATTACCTCCAAATTCATTACTTTTTGCATATAGTACAGTAAGTTCTCTGTGAAGTTGATATAAGAAGTCAATGTTCAACTTCTTATATACTGTTTTGAGTAGCTTCAGTTATTATAATAAACATAAAATAAAATGTATTTCAAAAGAAATGTAATGGATTATTCCATTTTCTTTATACTTGCTATTCTTATTACTGAATGTTGTTACAGTATTATATAATTCATTCACTTAATATATTTTTGGGGTCCTTTAACTTTTATTTCTGAGGAGATTATAACATGTTAATTCATGTTTTGTTAAGTAAACATATCTCTTTTGGTATTTGCATCAATATTTGGAAATTTTTCAAAGAAAAAGGGGAAGGAAAGCATATTGTATATCCTTTTTCCTTAGGTATCAGTGAATGCCCCCGGCTACACACACAAACCCAGTGTGAGTCCTAATAACCAAAATATAATCAAACTATATATTTTTAAACAACATACTTCCTGAAAGGAGACCCATTTAGCCAATAACTGAGTAATAGATAGTTACCTTTGGGATTAATAGGGAGCATTATCTGTAAGAAGTTTTAGAATTTGATCTCTGCAATTCCATCTGAGTTCACTGCATGCAATTTTCTCCTTTTCCATGGGAATGTTTTTTTTTTCTTCTTTTAAACACAGCATGTATATTTGATGAGTATGTAAGTATATATTCTTATCGACTCTGAGCAATTCCTTGTCACCTGTTTTATTTCTTAATCTGTGTTGTACAGGTAGTGCCATTAAGATGTTTCACATACGTCAAAAGTAGGACACGTAGAAGATGATGGCGCTGTAATTACATAGTACATCAAAAGCGATTCAACTTTGGCAGAGCTGAAGATTACTTCTGTTTTGAATTAATCTGAATGACCCCAGCTTTATTGCTGTCAAGTTTCTAGAAATAATAAAATGTCAAGTCACTAGAAATAAACCGACAGAACCTAAAAAAATGACATGACTAATGCATAGTTTCTCTGACTTGTTCCATATTCTGTAGACTTTATTACTAACTACAATATTTTATTTAGAAATCTTGTCTTAATCAATGTGTCTTTCACCTTACTAAAATATGTCTGCGATATAAAGAACAGAAAATTCAGTGCTCTGTATATTTGTGTTTTATGTACACTAAAATCTCAATACACAAAGAAGATGTAAGTGGTGAATCACTGTTTCACTTCTACTATATCTTAATTTTGGTGCGGTATGTTAGTGAATGCTATTGAGTTTGTCTTTTCTGAAGCATGCTACTATTTGAAGTAATCACAAGTTTTCCAATACCATTAGATAATTATAAAATTCATAGGCTTACTGTATGCGGACCACTTTTTTAAGAAACTGTTATTTAACTTATATTGACATAGTACTACAAGGAATAGCTATCTTCACATTTATCATTACTGGCTTCATAAAATATTCTTTTATAAAACACAAAACTCATATTTCAGCATATTGTCCTGAAAAGGGGAGCTCTCATCTATAGTCTGCATTATCTGATGTCCTTCAGATTACCTTTCAGATTTAAAAATTCTTCTCACATTGGAGGGTCTCAATTCTGGCTAAATTTTTTACTTACACTAACCATAATCTATTGGTGATGATGCCAGACTAGATTATTTCCCTTGATTTTTAGTTCTTTTAATTTGGCTTTTAACTTTTCAAATGAAAAGCTAATTTATAAAGTGAATATGTAATCTGAATCTGCTCCTATTGAATGGATCAGAGAGAGTAAGCAGAAATATCACAGGCCCTTTCAGTTGGATATCCATAATGTCCTACAGATTCCATTCAACCCACCCCCAGCTCAGTCCCCACCATTGCCACCACCTTGCACTGCTGGCCATGTCAAAAATTTGAAATCCACTGCACATGGCAGCTGCCTATTCCTCTCAAATCTCTGTCTGCCAACTCTGTTTTTGATAATTTTTTTATCTAAAGTTTCCTAATTCAATATCCTGTTAGAGGAAGATGTACAGTACATTATTCAACATAGACCTCCATTACTCTATTTTATCAGGAAAAAAAAATTCAAGGCCTCTCTTAACACATACTGATGTACCATGACATTGGAATATGACTAATTCTAGTATTGATTCAAAGGTTTTGGTATTTCTTCACATTCTTTATCACAATCACAGGACAAGAGGCAAAGGATGTGGACATGTTTTTGATGAATGATGCTTCCATTTAATAGGCATTCAGAAAGGAAGAAAAAAAGGAAATGAAAAAAACACATGTATGAGAAGTTTTGTACAACCTTAAACCTTGTCATGTTAAACAAGAATCCAGGCATCGTTGGGGCGCCTGGGTGGCTCAGTCGGTTAAACATCTGCCTTCCACTCAGGTTATGATCCTGGGGTCCTGGGATCCAGCCAGGCATGGCTCCCTTCTCAGTGAGGAGCCTGCATCTCCCTTTCCCCCTGCTACTCTTCTTCCTTGTGATTTCTCTCTTTCTCCCACTCTCTGTCAAATAATAAAATCTTAAAAAAAAAAAAAAAGAATTCGGGCATCATCATATTTGCTAGTATTCAGAAGTGCTTCAATTGGATCAGGGTTTAATGTGGCTATTGTGAAATACTTACACTCTCTAGATAAAGTAAGCAGCAAAAGTCACTTTAGGTTCTGTTTATGTAGTTATGGCTTTTTGAACTCAAATTCCCCTTGGATATCTGTCTTTACCTTTATTGTTGACAATGTGTACACATTGCAACCTATGATTTTAGTCTTCCTCTTTGCTCTGGTTGCCTCAAGTCCAAACTCTACTGTAAATCCTGCAAACTTTGAGCATCTCTCTATGACAGCCACTGTGTGAAGTGTTTAGGGAATAAAATCTAATGAAACATAATCCTAACCTATGAAAAGTTGCTAACTTGATCAGTTAATATGACTTCTTTAACCAAAATTCTTTTGTAATGTGTATGTAACATTCCATTATTACCACTTGGATTATTATTCTTATTATTTGCCTGTGTTCTGATTTGTTTATTTATTTAACTTTTAAATTTGTTCTTTTAGAAAGATTTGACATATTTCCCTTTGAAGGAGGGTATACTGTTAAGTAATTATCAAATTATTCAAACAACTATTTTTGGATCACAGTAAAAATGTACTTTCTCTTTTACATAGAATCAAACAAATTTAAGTAAATATTTAGCTCTTTTGAGATTAAATAGATATTTCAATGAGGTAATGTCCATTGAATGTAAATAAGGCTTATTTTAACATTATAGGAACAAGTGGTGGATACCTGTTTTATGGGGGGAGGCATGAGCAGTATATGACAAGGTTTAACTGCTACAAGGGCTAATGAAATTACCACATTTTGAAACTGTGAAAGAGCTACAAGACTTATAAAATAAATGGGAATAAAAAGGAAAGTGTTTGGCAAGATCTCCACGAGGTGTGATTAGCTATTTTTTCCTCCTATTTCCTGAAGCCAATAGCTGAAATATTGAAATGTAGTTTGATGAATGAACTTTACCATTCAAGAAACATATTAAAGGCCTTCCTAATTTAATTTCTATAAATGTAGCTACAAGTTCTAAACAAATTAATTACCCTGGTTGCTTTAACCATGATAAAGTATAATCCAAAATACATTAATAGAAATTAAAACTGGAAAGCAGATATCAAAATTTAAATTTTGTATTTTTGAGTTTAGTTTTGCCTTCACATTTTTACTTCTATCCAGAGCCTTCCTTTCCTTATTTTGATTTTTAAGGGATATTACAAATTTTCCTGATTCTGGTATATTTTATATAGATTGAAATTTTTCTAAGTTTTTCTGACTCAGTATCAAATTCATGGTAATATATGTGCTCCACCTGGTGGTGAAGAATAAAGAAAAAATATATATATTTTTTAAAAAAGCAGGGGCAAATAGAACTTTATATCCTGATTTTAGATGTGTGTGAAAGTACCTTGTAGGATACCCAGTAAAAATCTACTCAACACTAAACATAAGTTGAATATTAGTCAATAGTATAATATACTTAAATTCATTATGGATTAAAATTTTGGTTAACCAGGGTGCCTGGGTGGCTCAGTTGGTTAAGCGACTGCCTTCGGCTCAGGTCATGATCCCGGAGTCCTGGGATCGAGTCCTGCATCGGGCTCCCTGCTCAGCAGGGAGTCTGCTCCTCCCTCTGACCCTCTTCCCTCTCGTGGTCTCTATCTCTCATTCTCTCTCTCTCAAATAAATAATCTTTAAAAAAATAAATAAATAAAATAAAATTTTGGTTCACCAAACACATCATCATTTTACAGGCTGTTTTTAACTTAATGATTTACACTTACTGGGTAAATACAGTCTATAAATGTATGGAATATATATATAAGAAAAATATGTAATATCTATATGTATATTAAGAAATATAACCTTAACTTTCTATAAATATCTAGCTATCAATCATCTATCTTTATTCTATCTCTGTCTTGTATCCTGGATTCTATTCTATTGGTACCAATTAATTACATGGATTTTCCTGCCCTTCCATTTGATAGTAGGTACACTTTGAGGCTGTTATTATGTACAATACTTCCTCACAGTAATATAAATTTCACACACTTTACTATTTACAATTCCCAATTAAAATTCTAGAGCAGGACCTATTGAAGTGAAAAGTGATGTTATTTTTCCCAATCATAATTCTTAACTTGACAGCAAACTCCATTTTGATTTTGCACTATTATGTTCTAAATTTGATTAACTTTCTACATAGTATATTTTTCTCTCCTAGTAATCTTTCTATACTCTTTACTAACTCCACTGTCAACATGAATTATACATTTCTTGTCAGGTATCTTCCATCTGAAAGTTCCTGAGTCTTCTCCTATTGGCTCAGCCATTGGAAGAATAAGAGCTGTGGATCCTGATTTTGGACAAAACGCAGAAATTGAATACAATATTGTTCCAGGAGATGGAGGAAATTTGTTTGACATCGTCACAGATGAGGATACACAGGAAGGAGTCATCAAATTGAAAAAGGTACACAGAAAAGTTTTTGGAGAATTGACTACCTGCTATTAATTAAAAAACAAAATGACTAAAAGTTGAAAATGAGAGAAATTGTAATTTTCTTCAGTTAGCAATATTTTAAATAAAAAAAGCCCAGGTGACATAAGTATTCACTTCTTCAGGCACTTGTATTCTGCAATTCAACAGATATATATTTTTTGGTGAAACAGGTCTATTAATTTGATTAAATTATTAAAAAATTATTTCCAGACTTTAATTGTAATTAATTTTTTTATTGTTACAAACTTAAACAAAAAGATTAACTTAAAAATAAGATCTAGAAGTAAGGGGCGCCTGGGTGGCTCAGTCTTCAAACGTCTGCCCTCCGCTCAGGTCATGGTCCCAGGGTACTGGGATCGAGCCCCGCATCGGGCTCCCCGCTCAGTGGGAAGCCTGCTTCTCTCTCTCCCACTCCCCCTGCTTGTGTTCCCTCTTTCACTGTGTCTCTCTCTGTCAAATAAATAAATAAAATCTTTAAAAAAATCTAGAAGTAAACTCTAACCCCACCAAGCTTGGTCTTGCCCCTCTCATGACTTTTCTGAAAATATAAATATCGAATTCACACATTGTTGGTGAGAGTTTATATCATAGTGGAAGAATCCCTATGTCAATAACCTGTACTACTGAGGAATGGAAGAAATGAGCAAGGGTAATGCTGGGCTTGAAGGGGTTTTAAGGAGATAAATGAAAAGAAATATTAATGAGGGGGGGATGGAGGAGGGGAGAGGGCAGGAGGGGAGCGGGAAAGGATAAAGAAGAGAGAGAGAAAGAGATGGAGAGTAAAAGAGGGGGGGAGGGGGGGAAAGGCAGAGTGTGATGGGAAGCCATTTAGTAATATTAAATAGACTGGTACAGAAGAGAATTGCAGAAGGGGAGAGCATAATTCAAAATATTAGCGAGGGGATAGTCTGTCTTTCGGTGGGTTGGCATGAAGAAGGGGTATGCAAATATGAGCGACAGAAAAATCACAATTATGATTGGGGTGTGTAGACTGTTTCCATAACAGTGAAACAAATTATAGGAATTTTCAATAATGGAGTACAGGCAAACTAGTGAAACTCACTTAATTTAGTACTGCTTTCCCCTCTCCAGCAAAGTATGTTCTATTCCCCCAAACCGCAGTATATCATACACATTTAATAATTGTGATTATTTTAGCCTACAAGAAATATTTTTGCAAGTCATTCCCATTAATTAGGCTGATGTTTCCATATTTGCTCAGCAGCTCTGAATTTTAACAGAAATAGTACATATGGCAATAAAAATAATACTGAAAAGGGCGCCTGGGTGGCTCAGTTGGTTAAGCAACTGCCTTCGGCTCAGGTCATGATCCTGGAGTCCCGGGATCGAGTCCCGCATCAGGCTCTCTGCTCGGCGGGGAGTCTGCTTCTCCCTCTGACCCTCCCTCCTCTCATGTGCTCTCTCTCTCTCTCATTCTCTCTCTCAAATAAATAAATAAATAAAATCTTTAAAAAAAATAATACTGAAAAGAAACACAATTTCCATATAGATTATTTATCACTTTTTATTTCCACTATTGCACATAAATTGAACCTTTTCTAGAAATTACTTTAACCACATGATCTCATTCAGCAAAATTATGCATTTATGTTGAATTGTCAAAGTATAGTTTAAAAAGTATGTGTCAAATTCTTTACATTTTTATTGTTTGTTCTTGTTTTGCTTGTTTTTCTCTTTTCTATTCAGTAACAAGTCAATAAGAGTCTTATTACTCATTTTTTCAGAAAAAATAACTACATTTAAATGACTTACAAATGTTAATTTAAAAGGAACAGATATGTATTCTCTTTTTTTAATTTTTTTTCTTGATTTTATTTATTTATTTGAGAGAGAGAATGAGATAGAGAGAGAGAGCACGAGAGGGAAGAGGGTCAGAGGGAGAAGCAGACTCCCTGCTGAGCAGGGAGCCCGATGCGGGACTCGATCCCGGGACTCCAGGATCATGACCTGAGCCGAAGGCAGTCGCTTAACCAGCTGAGCCACCCAGGCGCCCAGATATGTATTCTCTTAATACTGAAAAAATAATAAAAAATATTTTACATTAACCGTTCATAAAATTTAAGTATGAATTTAAGTAAGTTTAAAAAGTAAAACTGAGGTACAGAAGAGTCAATATTGTATATACTATATTTTTGAAATTTGTATATGTATGTGTATTTATAGTTATTAAACTATATTTTATATTTACATATGTTTTATATTTCTATTTTTATTTACACACATTTACCATCTCTGCCAATAAATGACTGGTGTCTAAGTGTCAATCTGGAAAAATGTGTGGCACTCTTATTTACTTTTTAACACAATTGAAAAGAGAGGGGTGTGCTAACTATAGTTTTTATATTATATCAAAATGGCTTAATCCGTTGAAAGTAGTAATTTTTTAAAAAGAAAGTAATGATTTAGTTATATAAATCAACATTTTGTAATTATTCACTAAAAATTAATTTAAACAACTGCAATATTTTAGAGGTTTTTTTTTTTTTACTCTTGGTGGGGGGGTGGTGAAGACTGTATTATAAAATTATTTATGCATATATTCCATAAGTTGTCAGGAAAGTTTACCTTGCACTTAGCTTTAGGAGTCCCAGAAGAATTGGATGTGTAATAATAAGTAAGTATGCAAACATTAACAGCTGTGTTTCAGTTATAGGATGATCTTTAAATTAGTGTTTTGAAAACTTTCCCTTCAATACCTCAGCATAAAATTGCAAAAAGGAGTTTTCAGGTAAATTCAAATTCTTATAGGAATCATGTTGTTAATGCATTCAGAAAGTCCAAAAATATATACTCTACTCTCGATTATGTAGCTGTTTGTTAAATGTAAGTTATTTTAATTGTTTGGCTAATATTAGCATATGATGCTCTTTGTTTTCAGAGTTTTTCTTTTCTTAACTCATTTAATAATCCATTAAAATACATAAAGTTCTCCAAAGCACATATCCTCATTATTGTTTTATCTCCAAAATCTTTATTTGCCCTCCCTTTATTATTTCTCCTCTCTCTTTCTGAGGAGAGTCAAAGTGGATAAAAATGATGGCCAGGTTTATAGGAGTTGAGAAGAATGGCAGAAAAAAAACATTTTTATTAATTAATTTATTTTTTTCTTTATTTTATTTTATTGTATTATTATGTTAATCACCATACATTACATCATTAGTTTTTGATGTAGTGTTCCATGATTCATTGTTTGCATATAACACACAGTGCTCCATGCAGAACATACCCTCTTTAATACCCATCACCAGGCTAAACCATTCCCCCACGCCCTCCCCTCTAGAACCCTCAGTTTGTTTTTCAGAGTCCATCGTCTCTCATGGTTCATCTCCCCTTCCAATTTCCCCCTTCATTCTTCCCTTCCTGCTATCATCTTCTTCTTTTTTTTTTTTTAACATATACTGTATTAATTGTTTCAGAGGTACAGGTCTGTGATTCAACAGTCTTACACAATTCACAGTGCTCACCATAGCACATACCCTCCCCAATGTCTATCACCCAGCCACCCCATCCCTCCCACCCCCCACCACTCCAGCAACCCTCAGTTTGTTTCCTGAGATTAAGAATTCCTCACATCAGTGAGGTCATATAATACATGTCTTCCTCTGATTGACTTATTTCGCTCAGCATAATACCCTCCAGTTCCATCCACGTCATTGCAAATGGCAAGATTTCATTCCTTTTGATGGCTGCATAATATTCCATTATATATATATATATATATATATATATATATATATATATATACCACATCTTCTTTATCCATTCATCTGTCAATGGACATTTTGGCTCTTTCCACAGTTTGGCTATTGTAGACATTGCTGCTATAAACATCGGGGCGCACGTACCCCTTCGGATCCCTACATTTGTATCTTTGGGGTAAATACCCAGTAGTACAATTGCTGGATATTATGCTAGCTCTATTTTCAACTTTTTGAAGAACCTCCATACTGTTTTCCAGAGTGGTAGCACCAGCTTTAACATCAGCTTGGATTCAGTTTATGAGCCCTATGATGGAATGTTATTTCACTGTGTCACTTTGAATTAAGAATAGCATTATGAAACTTTATAAATCTTCTCAAGGCACAAGCTATTGGTTAAAAAAGAACAAACCCACAAAAAACTACTCTTACTCTACAGTTACGTCATATTGCATTGAGCAAAATTTAAATAGAAAGTGCCCTATATGTTCTTAAGTGCTAAAGCATTAAAAACGCTAACAACATCAGAATAATAACTTTTTAAATTTTCCATCCCATCTAAAAATTAGGAGATGGGCTACATTTAAAATGAGAGTATAAGGGGGCGCCTGGGTGGCTCAGTCAGTTAAGCCTCTGACTCTTCATTTTAGCTCAGGTCATGATCTCAGGGTCGTGAGATGGAGCCTGGAGATGGGCTCTGAGGTGGTCATGGAAACTGTTCAAGATTTTCTCTCTCTTTCTCTCTCTGCCCCTTCCCCAATGCTCTTGTTCTTTCTCTCCCTCCCAAATATGTAAATAAATAAAATGAGAGCATAAGACATCTTAAATCCAGCAATTTTATTTGTTTGTTTGTTTGTTTAATAATTAATTAATTTATTTATTTATAGAGGGAGAAAGAGAGAGAGCATGAGAGAGCAAAGGGAGGGGGAAGAGGGAGAAAGAATCTTAGGCAGGCTCCACACCCAGTGTAGAGCCTGTTGTGGGGCTTGATCTCACAATTCTGAGATCATGACCTGAGCCAAAATCAAGAGTCGGGCACTTAACTGAGAGCCTCCCAGGCACCCTTCAGCAATTTTAGTCTTAATTGAAAAGGTAATTGAAATATACTTTACTCAGTTGTTTCTTTTCTATTGGATAACTGAGAATAAATATGTATTTATTATATACTTACATACTTATTGGATATAGATGTAAAATTACATGAGTTAAAAACATTCAAGGACTGAAAATAGAAATATATTCATAGAAGCA